ATCTTGAAATTTACTAACACTGGACAATATAGGTATAAACGCAGAGTAAATTAGTAAATGACAGATGTATACTATAATATGAGGTATGCACTATATTCAGAACTCTTGTGGTCGTATGTTCATGGATAAGATTAATCCCATACAGGAGAACGAGAAATGGTGAAATCTCAAGTTTATCGATAGAGAATTTTATGGAGATTCCATTTAAATGGTCAGTGTAACGAAGTTTTTAGTAGTTAAATAGATAGCTTACAAAAATCATAAAAAAACCAAAAATTCGTAAAATTTTCTCTTTATCAATTAATCTTAGATTGTAAATTATGATAACGAATAATAAATAAGTGTAACCACGGTTCAATAGTTGAGGTTATGTTCAATTCATATGTTAAATTGTAAATAATAATATTATTCATTAATATTTTTAAATTTATTATTTTTTTTTACTTTTTAAGTAGGTTTTGTTTAATTAAACAAAATATAAATGATTGTAGGTATTTTAAAAAAATGTCTAAATCCGGCCGTCCGCGGTTTCGGGTACCGCAGGATGCACCGGCTAGGCACCGTCTTCCCGCAAGTTCCTGACAATTTTCCGAGAGGAGTTGACGCTATCTGATTATATATTCGGAATCTCCAGTTCAATGCGGAGATTTTCATTCTACTTAGACCGACGCAAAATGATTGTAGGTATTTTTTTAAAAATGTCTAAATCCGGCCGTTCGTGGTTTCGGGTGCCACGCGATGCACCGGCTAGGCACCGTCTTCCCGCAAGCTCCTGACAATTTTCCGAAAGGAGTCGACGCTATCTGATTACATATTCGGAATCTCCAGTTCAATGCCGAGATTTTCATAACACAATTCGATTGCGATTAACTCCGTTATCATAATACAGTGGTCGCCGCTTATTGGACTCACGGTTAATTGACTCATTCGCATATTAGACTCAAAACGGTTGGTCCCGATTCGCACATATACTAACACACAGCAAAAAATTCGTCTATTCGACTCACACACCGGTTATTAGGGTCATTTGAAAATTAGATAAATAAAGAAAATATGTACATACATTGAATAAACGTGTTATAAATAAGTCGGTACCTTTTATCGCGGAGATAAAATAAATTACTTTTTCACGATAAACCAAGCAGTCGTCAATGTCAATTAGTACGACAGGTAGTGTATGAATAGACGTCGTCGTGTTCAGTGTGTTTTTTGCGTTTATATGTACGTGTATATTCTGTGTAAAAATTTTTATTTTTCGTGTTACAATGAACAAACGACGTGATTTGAGTGTGGAAGAAAAATTAGATGTTCTTAAAAAATATGACGAGCTCCCGAAAATGAGCCAGCGACAAGCAGCATGTAAGTTAAACGTGTCTCAAAGTTTACTAGGTAGGATGCTGAAAAGTCGACAGGAAATCGAGGGAAATGCATTAGAAAATGTGAATTCAAACCGTAAAAGAAAAAGGGCCGGTAAAGAAGAAGAAGTTGAAGAAGCTTTGAAACAATGGTTCACAAAAGTCAGAGAAAAATACGCCCGAGTTACAGGACCACTGTTGCGTCACAAAGCCGAAGATCTCGCGAAAAAAATGGGTAAAGATGATTTTGTGGCAACAGAAGGTTGGTTTCACCGATGGAAGAAACGCGAAAACATTTCATTCGTTAAGCCACATGGAGAACAGGGAGAAGCAGACCAAGTAGCTGCACGGTCGTGGATTAATTCAGAATGGCCATCTCTTATCGCCAAATATCCTCCGTCTTGTGTGTTCAATGCGGATGAAACTGGGCTTTATTTCAGGGCATTACCTGAGCACACTTACGCGTTTAAAAATGAAAAAACTAGAGGAACTAAAACTAGTAAAGAACGTCTAACCATATTATGTTGTGCAAGTATGGATGGTGAAAAAAGAAAACTGCTCGCGATTGGTAAAAGTAAAAATCCCCGGTGTTTCAAGGGTGTTAAGAATCTACCGATAGACTATACTGCAAACAGTAATGCATGGATGACAAAAGAAATTTTCACCGAATGGCTGACCAAGTGGGACAATGAACTTTGTCATGACGTTTTATTGCTAGTCGATAATTGCACGGCTCATGTGGTTACAGTGAAATTCAAACATATTAACCTCGTATTTTTACCCTCTAACACTACATCAATCATACAACCGTGTGATCAAGGGATTATACGCACTTTTAAAGCTTATTACAGAACAGGCATGAGAAAGAATGTGATCAGTGTGATTGATGCTAACCTGGAACAAGAATTATGTACCTTACGTGCTCATGAAATCGCCAAAAAAATAACTGTACTTGAAGGTTTGCATTTAGCCTACGAAGCGTGGAATATGGTCAGTAAAATCACAATACGTAATTGTTTCAGACACGGTGGTTTCATTCTCTGTCCAAAAGAAGTTGAAGCTGCTGTCGAAAGACCCACTGACCTATCAACTGAACTTTATAATGAATGGATAAATATTGACGAAGAAGTCCAAACTACCGAACTCGTTACCGAGGAAGATATATGTGGGGAAATACAGTCGAAACGGTTTAAAGAGAATATGGTTGGTGATAGCGACGAAGAGGAACCTGATGAGAAACCACCATCAACTAAAGAAATACTAGAAGCGCTTCAAATTTTACGTAGAGGGATTCAGCAAAGAGGCGATTTTGACGTATTCGAGNCGTATACACAACATAGCTTGATTTACATTCATAGCATAATTACCAACTTTTGAAATATACATACTATGAAATACCTGTGTACCTATATTATTCTAAGTTTGAATTATTTTTTTTTAACATTGGTAATTTTGTAATTATTACACATTTTATATTAGGTATTGAGGATTATTGTTATATGACATTATTTACATTATTTTGTTCAACATTTTGTATCAATGTATTTATGTATTTCTAATGTGATCATTCATCTCAGCGACGGGCGTGCTCATAATCTAATTAAATATAATAGACAATAAGTAGCATTTATTTTCTACCCAAATTAAAAAATATTTATTTATTCAAAAATAAAAGAAGACATTATTATGTTGATAGATTCGAGTATAGGTGAGATGCTGATATTGGAAATAAATCATCTAGAAAAAAAATGATATTGTATTATTATATATAATAGTATTATGGGTATTTAATAAACCTATGTAGGTAATAAGAAAAGTAGAAAAATACTTTTTTTTGGCTGCTTGTTCTTTTAAAATTCTCGGTGGATCGTTAATGTCGGTAACTAGATGTCTCTTACCAAACTGCGGATTTATTAATTCCGGCAATAAACATTCATTATAGAATCTAAATACGAGATATAAAATAATACATGGTTAAATTTGTGAATATAAATTTAAAAATTAATTAAATTAAAAATGGTTTATACTAATTAATATTATACTTACAAGTGTATTTGAGACTGTATTTTTTGATACCAAAAGTTATCATCGATAGTAATACATACATTATAATACCAATTTTCTGTATAAATAAAAAAATTACATTTTTTTCTTTTGGTTACATGCAATTGGGTCTGAATCTGGTAATAATAATTATGATTAGTTTTTAAGCTAACATTGTTTTGTTTGTCTTTAAAACAAAAAGGAATCTGCGGAAATTTAAAATTGTTTTAAAATATTATGCAAGGTAGGTATTAAAAATCTAAATGTATTACTTTTCCTGCGTCAATAGCGTCAAATATATCAGAAAAATTCCTAGCTGAAAATGGACATTTAATTTCGATGATCGAATCTTCGCCGATGAGGCCATCTAAATAATATAATTTATTGGTTATTAATTATTTTAAATTAATTATTAGTAATTAGGTATTGTTATTTAAATAGTTTTTGCTTTTAACTACCTGGACTTGCGGCTAAATATAGAATTTTCTCATCAACACACAAACCCACAGGTGCAATTTTCAAATTATATATATTTTCAAATTTTTTTTTGGCTTCGATCTCCATTACACGTCCATATTCAATAGCCTTTATTTTTATGTTTATGCAACTATAGAGCAAATCGTATACAATCTTTTTACAAGATGTATACTGCCGCATTTTGCATATTTTCCCTATATTTGAGGCAGTAATTCTTTTTTTTCTCTCCGAATACCAAAGTTGGGATTTGGATTGATCTTTGGTTTCGTTTTCCAATTTTTCTGAAAAATTAATACAAAAGATTCATATAGCGTCATTTTTATTCGATACCTATAATTAAAATTTTTTACCTCGATTAATGGTCTTTAATTCGTTAAGAAAATTATCTTTTCTTATTTTGAATTCTGCAGGAGTTAAATCGTCAACCAACTCATCTGCTAATCCATAGTTTTCATCTGGTCCACTGCATTTTTTATTATTTTTTTTATTTTTAGAAGGAAATAACTCTCGGCTTCGTGCATTATTACGTCTCTTTCTCGCAACATCTTTTAAAAATAATTTACTAAATTTCCCTAAAATATTTATTTTGAATTATTATAAATTTATATACCTATATTAACATTTTACCTATAATATATAAAATAAGAACTCATTATACTTATTTATTTGTTATTTTTATGATATTTATAAGATATAATTTTATTAATTGACAATTGTCCAAAATAATTCTTATAAATAGGTACCTGGACTTTTTTTCATCACATTTTTATGTATTGTTCGCAGGTATTCTTTAGAATTGAAGGACACTACTGCAGCTTCAACCCGGGTGTTGTACGAATTTCGTTGCGATAAATTTATTCTTTTTCCGCCGATGAATTTATTTATAATGCTGTTAAATTGCTCGCATATGTTGTTATCTACGTCTAAAATCAAACTTGCTGAATTTATCACTAAGCGATTAACAATATTTTTTATTTCGACCATCATTTCACAGATTTCTGCACGCTGTACCCAATTTTCTTCTTCTAGAAGTCTTTTTTTACAAAAATAATCGTCACACTTTGAATGTTCGCCAAAAATGTGATACGGACTATTAAATAAGTCGGCTGATAAATCTAAAAAAATATATTCATTTAGTACAATACACAAATTTTATACAAATATTAAATTTATAACATATATAGGTTTGTACATATTTATTTATTATTTATAATTATATAGCTATAATAAACGATTTATAAGAAACCTTTTACTACATTTTAAAGCTTTTGGCCGAGCAAAAAACTAAAATAATATAACCTCGAACATTACAATATATATATACAAAATTACAATAATATATATTATATTGCGTCACTATATAACTAAAATTTGGAGGTGTTTGAATGATTTATCTGTCGGCCACAATACAGTAATACTGTGTATTTATAATTAAAATGTTTTACAAACTTTTAATTTTCTGTGTTGTTGGTACATTTTCATTTTTTCTGTGTCTTATTGCTGTCACAATAGCAGTCCGGAATCTTAATATATTTTTCAAAATAAATTGCCTTAAGTTGATAGGATAATTAGTTTTTTTTGCAATAAAAGTTAACTT